CAGGGCGAAATGAACTGTATTGCTTGTATGACATCCAGAGAAGTGTGTGGAGCTTCTGCTGTGTTTGGGTACGAACTACTATCAGGCTTATCTCCATTGGGTGGTTTAATGGCGCTGTTTGTCACGTGATGAGCTGTGTGATGGATGCCCCTCCTGCTGTTACGGCTGCGGTGCATTCTGTGTCTCTTGGGTTGGTGTCCTCTGCGTGGTACGCCCGTGCGTTGGGGGTGTTGTTGGGACCTGGGCGGATGGTGGGGGACGACTATGACTTCGTGACTTTTTTCTCAGTTCCATTTTGACTTAATTGGCGCTGGTGCTTTGTTTTCTCTTTTTGCGGACGGCCACCGTCAGTTACTTGCGACCCTCGCTCCTCTGTGGGCGCTGCAGGTTGATTCCTCTGTCTGTGCTGATGCTTGGCCTCTTGCCGTCTCTGATTTTGCGTCTCTCTCTCTCTCTCTCTCTCTCTCTCTATCGGCTGCTGCGCACCTTCATATCTCTCACCTTCACTCTGCCCTACCCGACGGAAAGGGCGTCATCTGNTCTGTGGGCGCTGCAGGTTGATTCCTCTGTCTGTGCTGATGCTTGGCCTCTTGCCGTCTCTGATTTTGCGTCTCTCTCTCTCTCTCTCTATCGGCTGCTGCGCACCTTCATATCTCTCACCTTCACTCTGCCCTACCCGACGGAAAGGGCGTCATCTGCTCAGAGGGAGGACAGAGCACCACTGTGCAAGGAGCGGCGCCTCCCTTTTTTCCACACAGACAGAGACAAATACAGAGACGGGCTGTCACGCACACCTGCAGTGCAATGACGTTCTCGCCGAGTTCGCAGCGCTCGCTGTCGCAGGCACATCGCGCGACGCCATCGTCGGTCCGCTCCGTCTCGCCGGAGCACTACCGCGGGGAGGAGGCGCTCTCCACGTACACCATCCCCGGTACCGCACGCTCAATGGAGTATGACGGGGAGCGGCGTGTGTGGACGGCTGAGACGGACGGTCGCGTGCTGGTGCGTGCTCTTCCGCGTGGGGAGGTGTTAATTGAGGCTGCGACGCGTGAGAAATCTTTCTGCACAGTTCTGCGGTGCGTGACGCCGAGGCACATGTGGGCTGCCTTCGCGGATGGCTTCATTCGATGCTACAACACATCAACGGGGAGCCTGCAAAATGAGTTTGTGCAGCACGACGGTGCTGTGAACTCTCTGGCGAGCTCCGCTACGGGCGATCATGTTTACAGTGGCGGCGAAGACTGGAAGGTGTATCAGTGGTCCAAGTCGACGTGCGCGTACGTCCGGCTCTTCTCCGGTCACCTCAACGCCGTGCGCTGCGTCCTCGTTGCCTCCAGCGGCAGTGGGGGTGGCAGCCGTTCCATCTCGGAGGAAACGCGGCTGCTGGACGAGGACGACGACAAGAGCGCCGCCGGTGGGGGCGAGCCGGTGGAAGAATTTGTCCTCTCGGGGAGTGACGACGCCACCATCAAAGTGTGGGACCCGAAGGCCCCGCTGCAGATTGAGACGAACGTGGCGTGCGTGGCGACGTTGCGGGGACACCACGGCTCCGTGCGGGCCATGGAGATACACCTGCGCAGCGGTGAGTTGTGGTCGGGTGGCGATGACTGCGCCGTGCGCGTGTGGGACTGGCGCTCCAGGGACGAGCGCCGCTGCCTCGCCGTACTGGAGGGGCAGCACAGCGCCCCGATCACGACGATCTCCAACGTCACGCCGCGCATGTGGACCAGTGGCAAGGACGGCTGCGTCGTAGTATGGAACGTGCGTCAGAGAGCGCCGGTGTACCGCTTTCAGCCCGGCTCACGCTCGGCATGCCGCCCCATCTTTTCCATGCGGCGGCTATACCGCTCCACGCACTGGACGGTGTGGCTCAGTGGTCCGGAGGGCGTCATTCACGCCGTGCATTCCGTTGGCACGGAGCAGGATGTAGACACAAAACTTCAACGGTATGAGCGCCGACGTGCATATGACCGACTACGGCTTCGTCAGCTGCAGGAAGATGCCTGTAAACATCAGCAGCAGGTGGAGAAGCTTGACGCACGCAATAAGGCGCTAGAGGAACGCCTGCAACTCCTCAACGCGCGCCTGGAAGGAGAAAGGGAAAACAGCAGGCGCGAGCCTGTAGACGACCCACGCAAGAAGGCAGTTCAAGGTAAGAATCTTGCGGAAATAAACGCTTTAAAGGCAACTGTGTCTCAGCTGGAAACGCAACGAAAGGCAAACAAACAGTCCATCACGAAAGCCATGGCTGAAAATAAGCAGAAGGACGAAATCATCAGCTCGCTGAGAAAGCAGCTCTCCGACAAGGATGCGGCGCTGCAACGCATGGAGGAAACCCTCACGACAGCCATGGCGCATCAGGACTCCATGGCGGGAATTGGTCAGAGGAAAGCGGCCAATAAGGAGCTCCTGCTGGAGGAGGGTCGCGATGCCCTTGCCCGCAAGAGCGCCGAGTTCGACGCCTACAAGGAGGCCCAGGAGCAAGAACGTGCAAAGGAAAAAGCTGAGCGAGACTCCCTGCGTCGCCAGCTCCTAGAGGCTCAGAATTACAAGAAGCTGTGGGAAGCCAAAGATGAAGCTCTTCATGACGCACATGAGCAGATCGATGAGCTACAGAAAAACCTTGAAGGTGAGCAGCTTTACGTAAACGAACTCCTCCAAGAACTCGCACGGTACTCGCAGAATCAAACACCATCACACTCTGAGCGAAAGCTAACGTTCAGTGACAGTCGGCCTTGCACCCCGTCACCCGTTCGCCCGACAGCGCACCGCCACTACAAGCGCCTTCCAGGGGAGAATTGGATTGACGTTTGCATGAGTCACCCCAATATTCTGCAAGACACCCTCGTGGCAGAATTTACTGAGGTGGCTGGAGACAGTGGAGCCGTCGTTAGCGATGTGACGTTCGCCCCAGCTACTGAATGTCTGCTGATTGAAGTTACGCTTCATCACTCACCAACAGACACGCAAAGGCTGCAACAGTGCATTGATAGCTACAACTTTGCACAGGCCCTCACACTTCACGATAGCCTTCCACGATCAGCCAACAGATCGACGCTCCACAGAGACAAAGCAACCGAAGACGAACACAGAGACCCATCCAAGACAAAAATGGACGCAGTAAATGACCGTAAGGATGGATTACAAAAACTCCAACAAAAAACTCAGCATTCAACAAGTTCCCTGAGACGACCATCAGACAGGCCACCCAATAGCGCCTACTCTGTCTCTCCTCGGGGAAGCAGGTCGCCCATTCGCATTGCGACTGCAGAGCAGCAGAGTATATTGGCTGAATCCCTTAAAAAGGACGAGGCGGAGCGTGACGAGGCGCTGCAGAAGCTCCAGGCAACGGCAACGGAGCTCGAGAACCAGA